CGTACTATCCAACCCCACTGGGTTCTCTGTTTTAGGACTCCACTTCTCGGGGATTGGGTTGTACTTTTTGCTGGATTCTGCTTTCTTTCTTTCTAACGATTTTATCATCCACCTCCTGATTACAGTTCGGCATGCTGCCCTGCTTTTTAGCTCCCCTTCTGAATATAGTTCAGACACATCCCCAGGCCCGCAGACTACACACTGGAGTCAATATCCTGTGACTAGTGATGCTCTTTAGAAAAATCAATTGTTATATACAGGACAGTTTCCCCTGAGAGCTTCATTTGAATGAGATCTGAATATTAATTTTCTCAGGGTGAAATAGTAGCAGCTTCAGTAACGTTAGCACATTGCTTTGGCAGGAGTCTGTACCCAACACTTTTGACCTGTTATTCCTGTGAGATTTTTTTCAATAATAGAAGCTGTCACTATGAGGCAAGAGGAGAGTTTGTAACCAGCTCCTATTTGGCGGGGGGATGTATTACTTAGAAGCTGGAGCAAAGGCATCAAGTTCACTTTCTAATTTTTAAGTATGATTTTTATACTTAATGTTGCCTCTGTGCAGATTTACTAACTTGGCACTAAGAATACTTTCAACATGCTGCTAATGAAGAGTCAAGAAATATGTTATATATTATTGATAAACAAAACTCCTCCAGTAATATGTAACCATTTACTCACTATACAATAGACAGTGGGCTATGAACTGGGGCCAGAAGCAGCTACAGCACCTCCAGGACTGAGTGAGCACCAAGTGAGTATTCAGGCCTCTTTTATAAACAAATTAAGAATCTCACACCAGGAATGGCAGAACATTAAAAGGAGCGCTAGGCCATTCCAAATACAGGACTTAACAGGTTCCGTGCCACTCTGGAATTTCATTTGTAAAGTCCCTGGCCATGAGGGATGGAGTGAAAACTAGACATATCCCTGGGGCCGTTAGAGACTCTTCTAGCATCCATTTATGCAGAGTCATTGCAGCCCCCATGACTGGAATTATGATTAAATAACTCTAAATGCTGGTAGACATTTTCTAAGTTCTATGATCTATCTTTTTAAATTGTTCAAACAAAGGCTACAGATGCAAAAATGCCCCCCTCTTCTACAAGTCAATCTCGAATGTTTCCCTTTCAGGTAAGTTTCTGCACATAGTGGATTCCATCAGAAAATCTTTCTTGCAAGCCTCCAGGAAATCTTTATCTCTTTTCCTCAATTACCTGGCCTAGTATCTCTAGCTTGTTTCCAGAAGCCCAGACCAGGCTGGAACTGTTCTTAGAGCTTAAGCATGCCTGCTGCTTGAGCCCTGAGTTGGGTTAATTGGGGGGGAAGAACCTCCCTCGTTGTATACCAACACTATCCAATCCGCTATGGGCCAAGACATAAAAAATGAAAGGGCATCTCCCTTCCCAACTTAGGCTTTTGTTCTCTGATGGGGACCGGACCATGGGCTTCCTGGTTCCGCAGTTCCCAGATTCGCCTGGAGCTGTTCTATTGTGTTCTCTGATTCTCCCATTTGTAGATGCCTGCCATAGACCTTCTGGACCTCCATGATGCTGTAAACCTACTTCAATGGATTTCCCATCATATGGCCTATTGGTCTGTCTCTCTGGGCTACCTTGATTAATAGGATTGGTGACAATAGATAATAATAGAAAAGTAGACAAGTGTCACGTGTGACACACTCTGTGGGAGTGAGGATCCAACCCAGAATTTGCTATAGGGGAAGCAGAGATCTTGGTAGGTGAAAGGCATGAGCATCTCCGAAGGTCACAGGAACTGGCTTCCTTATAAACCTAAGCTCCCATCTATCACACACTCGCTCTGAACCCCTGTGCTGCCACTTTACCCACATTTGGGCTTCTAACTCCTGGGATCCACACCTCCACACAGTTCTGAGCTTTTTTTTTGTTGTTGTTGTTTTGTTTTTTGTTTTTTTTTTGTTTTTGTTTTTGTTTTTGCTTTTGTTTTTTTTTTTTAGGAGGATCAAGGCTAACAGCATCATGGCCTTCATACTGTGCCCGAGTCCTCAGTTTAGACCCTGACAGAACCCATTCTGTTTTATTTCCCCAGGGCAGAACATATTCCAGTTTCCCTGTCTTGGCAGAGACCTAACAGCTTTCAGCATAAGAAGAGGTGAGGCCTGGTGGCAGAGCCTGCTGAGAGATTGCTAAAGCACCGTTTCCCAGAGCGGAAGAGATGATATGGGTGGTGGCCATGGCAGAGGGAGCGAGGTGGCATTGCTTAGGTGCCCTCCAGGCAGCTGAGGCCATGCTAGAGACACTGAGATGCCAGACCAAGTGTAGACTCCTTTGAGGAACTCATCCCAAAGTCAGAAAACCTCAAACAAAGTTATTTCAGTTCAACATAGCTAGGGTTGTTCTGTTTTTGTTTTTGTTTGTTTTTGAATGGGTTTTTATTCCTTTTCTGTTCCAGAAAAGACCCACATTGGTCTTAAGTGTATGATGCTACTTCCTCCAACTCCCAAGTACTTAGAATTGTAGGTCTGTACCACCATACTTGATAACTGCTTGCCTCGTTGTCTTATATACGTCTTACTAGGAATGATAGGCTATGGGGAATATCAAAATCTCATTAGTCCTTCAAATCCCTGACAGTCTGGCTGGAATGCCAGTGGCCCCTGGCATGTTCCACCATTCAGCTCACACAGCATCCTTGGGTGGATAGTCATTATGCCAAACACTCGACAACCGAGATGCATTTTTGGAAAGGTGAGAATCTTGTTAATTCCTCTATGGTGATCAGACTGCTCAGGTATTGAGATTAGAGATAAGGGGCTGAGATCCGCAGGAGCTTAGAATGGCAAAGCAAGGCCCTAAACTGGGGCAGGAACTAGTATGCACCTCCCCCGTACTACAGCTGGTGCTGTGGGTATTTCCAGTCCATTCAAATCCTCCAGTTTTCCTTCATTCCTAGACTTCACCTGAGCTTTTTTCCTTTGCTGCAGGCCCCAAATGAAAGTGGATTGTTCTACATTAGCCTGCGTTTCCTCCCACACACCACATCCCTCCCATATGGACCACTGCACATACTTTCTTTATGGAGGACACAGGAAACCTCTTCTATATGGCAAGGACATGCTGAACTGATAATAACAACATATTCTGTACTAATGCAACCATTAAGAACTGGATGCTCTTATATCTACCTTTGCCAACAGGGAAGTCTATGAAAATAAAGGTGTAAAAGATCTACCAGAATCATGCTGTAAATGCTGAGTTCCCCATAGTGGTTCAGTCTGTCTCTGTGCCCTGAAGATCCTGTGATCTTAAAACATATTTTCATCTTTGTTATTTTATCAATTATATTTATAACCCCATGGTGGAGGAATTATTAATCCCATTCTACGGATAAGGACACTGGGTTGAAGTCCCTGGCTCTTTTGCGAGGTGCATTTTAATGAGTGTTCTGCTATAGAACATCTTGCAGAGAAATGGGAGGAGGTGGGCTCATGAATATGGAAGAAGACAACGTGAGAAACCAGTTCAGAGGAATAGTTCCTCCTTCCTCACCTCCACCCCAGCAGCAAGAGGGAATAAAACCTACTCATCTGTTAGGAAGTGCCGTTTTCAACTCAAGTGAGAAAGGCTAGACCCCTGGGGGCAGAGAATTCTCTGGTGGATTTTAAGGAATTAATGAAGAGTTTTTTAAATGGGAGGAAATGGGAAGGAGAGAGAGAAAGAGCCCTCATTCCTGGGACCTTCTGCTCAGTGCCCTGCCTCCCAGAAAACCCACATACACTTTTTTTTTAATTGAATTGAATCCGGTTCTGTGGTACACACTTTCCATTTGAGCGAACTAATGCTAATTCACAAGTCAAAACAGCCTCTTCCTAACACATCCGGGCTTCTGCAGGACAGAAGGTCCTCCCGACTCCTATAATTGCCCTCATATTATTGCTACATACCAATTGAGTGTCCAGATTGGAAAAGGTAACAAATGCTTACCAGAAACCCATCTGCCTGTCAACTTCAAGAATGAGTCCGGGATGAGACACAATATTCTCTGAGTTGAGGGATGTAATTTACCACCTAGCCTTGCCGCTACTTCATCAATTGAAAATCAATAAACTTCAATCAGTGCCCTAGAACTTGCCTTAACCTTTGGATGGCAAAAGGGACCCTTTCTGTCCCTGACAGCTGCAGGTCTAGTACGGTTTTGCCTTTTCCATACAATCAGCCAAGCTCAAACTGTTTCCTGATGGAGGAAAATTGTTCTGCAGCCCCTGGCAAATGATTGGAAATTGTTTTCCAGTTCCTAACAATGGCCACAGGAAGTGAATGTAATGAGGGGTGGGGTGGAGTTGGGGGGTGCACTCAGGCTCTCAGCGTCTCTGCAGACTCTGCTGTTCTTTTCTTCTTGTCCCCGTTTCATGGTTTTTATTTTTCCTGTGTTTGCTGTGGCGATAAGGTTATATAGGCCACCATCTCCTCCTCCCAAGGGTAGAATAACCCAAATAGGAACCAGCTTCACCAAAGACTTTGCCTTGTAGGCATCAAACACTCCACTGACCCAACCCCTGATGGACTAGACTTCATGATCCCCTTCATCTGCTCAAGTTAAAGTGGGGTTCTCCTCATACTATCTAACCCTAGTCTACTACTCCTGGGATGGTCGGTTCTTCCATGTGTCTGCTCCTATTGCAGATGACCACAGTGGGTTCTCCTGTCAGTGAGTGGAAGCCAAAGAGGCAGATAAGGGAGTGAGGCATGATTCATCACTACAGCAGGTAAGGCAGGCAAGCACTGGCCTTATTTGCAGTACAATGCCTTCCCAGAACAAAGGAAGCACGGGGAATTTTTTTCCTTAAGGATTCCTCTATGTAGTCATTGGGAAGCACTTTAGGATAGACACATTCCTGAGCATGCTGAGTTTAAGGACTACATTCCCGAACATGCTTAGTTTAAATGGAATGAAAGATGGCGGACACAGGCTCACCTAAAAGTTATGGTGCACATGTTCAAAATGTAAAAATGATATACCTGAATGCTTCTGGGTATGCTCAGCTTTCTCCCTAAAAAAAAAAAAAAAAAACCCTTTTAGCTAAAATATAAAAGGAAAGACACTTTGAAGGTGGGTTAATTTAGAAGGGTGCCCATAAATATGCATGCCTCACTTTGCAGCTAATGATAAGTTTATTATTTTTGCTAAATTCTCCCAGGTATACTTCTATGAAAAGAATTCTTTACCATTTTTCAGAATAACTTTTCATCATATTTACATGTTTTGTGTCATTTCAATAGGAACTGGGAGGCGAGGACCAGCTAATATGCAGGCCCCAGTCTCCATTTCAGAGCGGAAGTCTTGACGTCCTTTTCAAAAACAATTACTAATACAATTTATAGTCCTGTTTATGGTATAAGAGTAAAAAACCCATGAAAGTGCTCAGCACTGTAGGAAATGAATAGTTTATTAAACTGTGGACTGGGCTCTAATCCTGGCTTCAAAATGATTAACTAAGGAATCCATCATCTAGAGGGAAGCTGGCTTGGCAGAGATTAATTCTTAAACTATTCTTATTAGGGGCATTGTTTACCTTGAATTTGAGAGAACTTCCAGAATTGTTAAAGAGCATTGTGTGAGTGTATATTTTTAAATTAAAATAGCAATAAGCTGTATCCTATGCATGGCTGTAAACACAGCCCTTACTTTTTAACCCATTTTAGTTGTTTTAATAGTTTTAAGCACAAACATGCCAATGGGGGTTTCTCAAAGTACTTCACTGGGGCTGACAGGGTGAGCAGGTTATCAGTTAAGATGTGACTGGTGGTAGGTACCAGGAGCTCACATGGTAACTCAAGTTCGAAGAGGCAATTTATTATAAGGCTGTGTGTGTGTGTGTGTGTGTGTGTGTATGCATGCAAGCACACCTGCAGAATTTGAAAATACAAGTTCCATGGTCATAAGGGATGTACTGATGATTCATGAGATCCTCTCCTCCTGTCATTCTAAGACTATGTTCTGAGTCTAAAGCAAACCCTCATATAACACTTTATCAGAGACTGGAATGCAATTTGAAATACAAAAGGAAATGGGAGAGCGAGGAGCTAAGTAGATATGTGAATTGGTAAAGTGCTGTCCCATGAGTTTGAGGACATGGATTCAAACCCCATGTAAACGTATGTGGTGGTATGTATCTGTACTATCAGTACTGGGGAGGATGAGATGGGCAGATCCCTGGAGCTTGCTGGGTAGCCAGTCTAGCCAAGTCAGTGAGCCACAGGACCCAGACAGAACAAAGTGGACCCTGGCTCAAGGAAAACCTGCATGCACATGTTTAGAGAAAGAGAGAGAGACTGGGGGGGAGGGGAAGGGAGAGGTAGAGATAGAGATAGAGACAGACGGGAGAGAGGAAATAGAACCATGAGGCTTCAGAAGGTTGTATGAGCTACTGTGTTGGGACTGTCTGGAAGGATACAGCAATGGAGAAGAGTTTATCTACCAAAACTTCCTGTCCCCAGAGTTCCAAATCATCACAGTCATTCCCATGAGATCTAAAATCTCTCAGTTTCTGATTATATCCCAGAGCTCTCTAGCTAGCTGCCAGAAGCCAGAGCCTGCCCAGGAGCAGCAGGGCCAGCACATAGGTATTGTCTTAGTAAGGTTTACTATTGTTGTAATGAAATCATGACCAAAGAAACCTGGTAAGGAAAGGGTTTATTTGCCTCACACTTCCACACTGTAGTCCATCATTGAAAGAAGCCAAGACAGGAATGGAAACAGGACAGCAACTTAGAGGCAGGAGCTGAAGCAGAGGCTACAGAGGGATGCTGCTTCCTGGCTTGCTCCCTGTGGCTTGCTCACCCTGTTTTCTGATAGAATTCAGGGCCACCAGCCCAGGGATGGCCCCGCCTAGAATGGGCCGGGCTCTTCCCCCATCAATCACTAATTAAGAAAATGCCCTATAGGCTTGCTTACAGCCTCATCTTATTGAGGCAATTTCTTAAATGAGATTCTTTCCTTGTAGATGACTTCAGCACATGTCAAGTTGACATAAAACTGTCCAGCACGAGTACAGTGATATCTCCACTAGGTTCTCTGACTTTAGCAACAGCAAAATGAATCTTTCATTTTGGAAACTGTGTGGTTATTGCTGGCATCGTGTTGGTCTATAAACAAAGAGTATCATAGATTGGTCCAGCGCATCATCCTTATCCGGGATGGTGCTCCTTCCAGAAGCTTCCCCTGAAGAGTAAGGAACCCCTTTTCCTTGACTCCTCCCATGTCTTGCCCAGTTCAGTGTCCTGGCCTATCTCTGAACCAGTGCGATCATCCAGGGAGTAGGGGTGTATTAAATTTACACTCTGATCATTTGTGTACTACCAAGGACTTCTTGGATAGGTATGGATATCATCAGAGCAAAGACCAGAGCAGCTTTCAAAAGAAGAAAGAAAATATTAGGTAAATGTGGTAGGTTTTTGGTTTTGGTTCTGGTTTTTGAGATAAGATCTTACTACATGTTCCTAGTTGTCCTGGAACTCACTCTGCAGACCAAGCTGGCCTCAAACTCAGAGATCTTCCTGCCTCTGCCTGCTGAGTGCTAGGATTAAAGGAGTAAGGCACCATGCCTGGCTGATGTGGTAGTTTAATCCTAACCCTCAGAGACTGAGGCAGGAGGATTGCTGTGAATTTGAGGCCAGGCTAGGTTACACTTGGAAACAGGATTCAGAAAAGATAAAACTGTTTCCCCACATATTTCTCACACCATAAAGATAGACTTTCTTTCATACACAGGGTACAAACTGTCTGTGATCTGGACCAGCATGGTAATTTAGTTGCTACAGATCTAGCCACACTCAATGAGACCAAATCTTCTCTTTGTACTTCACTCACTCAACTCAATCCATGTCTCCTCTGAGACCAGTCTAATTGTAAGCAGAGTGTGCACTCACATAGAATGTCTGGTAGAAGATCACTCCTACAAAAAGAACCACATGATTGGGGAGAGGGGGATTATAAATTAAAATAATACAATATACTTTGAGAGGGCCATTTTTGTAAGTTTTAAAGATCAGTACATTCACCATGCATTGCCTACAACACAACCTAAACATCTCTGACTCTTTAACCTTCCCTGGCACTGACCACATGTGATCAGCACCATTACCTTGCAACTTAGAATTGTCCCTCTAGGTTGCTATTACATTTTCTATTTTCATTTTATGGATAATAGCCAACACCCACCTACACCTCAAGGGTCTTCTTATCATATCATCCTATGATGCAAAGTGGGTGGTCAAGACAACATGAGGCAGGGGCAGGGAGGAAGCATACCATACTTACCTTTTCTAAGTCAGCCCCTTCCATAGTAACATTATTGACCCATGCACGAAGACAGAGCTTCCATGATTTAATCATAGTTTAGAGTTCCTAACCCCCAGTGCTGTGGTCAAGGCAATCAAGTGTTCATCACATGAACTTTGGAGGATCCATTCTGACAAGTTCAGGTAAATAAACTGCACTCTATCTACACAACAGAATAGTATTTGTCAATAAAAAGAAGTGAGCTATAAAAGCAGAAAAATTTAATTGCATTCTGCATAATAAGAAGCCTATCTGAAAATACCACATGCTATATGCTTCCATCTTTGCCAGTCTAGAAAAGTTCGTAGTTTCTAGGGATTTGAGGGAAGAGAGAAATCAAGGAGCAGAATACAAAATTTTTAAGACAACTAAATTATTCAATATCCCGTGATGATGGCGGCATGATGTTATGTATTTGTCAAGACCTATAGATCTGCATAACACAAAAGGTGGACCCTAACAGAAACTGTGAACTTTAATGACTAATTGTTCTGTATTGGCTCATCAATTATGAGAAGCACACCATGTGCTAATGTAAGATGTAAACAATAAGGAAAGTTTGGACTAAATGTCATGTGGGAATTTTTTACTTTCTGCTTCAAATTTGTCTGTAAGCATTAAACTTATAAAAACTGAAGCCTACTACAAGAAAGGAAGTAAGACAGGAGAAGGAAGGGAAAGAGGGAAGGACTGGGCGCAGCCCTTCTCTGCCAGGCATTAGTCTCTGTCACATTTGCCTTTGTCTCAGACCCAAAGCATCGGAGTCATCGAGACTACGCACCTCCCTGGAAACCACAGCCCCAAGTGAGTATCTAAGTCTCCTCTCTTTCAATTTGTCCCCCCCCCCGCAGGAATTTTGTCACAACAAGGAAAAAAATTGACTACTACAACTGTCTTCCCAGTTCCCTCACACTTTCCCCATCTCCCATGGTTTGTGGGAGTGGGCTACCAGCAATGCTCTCTGCAGAGGCCTCCATCCCCCTGGCTGTTTCTGGATTGGTGCAGATGATGTGTGGTGCAAAGCCAATTAGACTCTGGGATTTCATCTCTTGATTATATATAGGCAGACTCGAAATTTCATGAATGAAAACGTGGTCCAGGCAAGAACTGTACTGTCAGGAAGTAGATTGTGTTACCCTTTATAGACCATACTGTGTTCCCCTTTGATGTTTTGCCCAATCTGGTATGATAATAAAGGGAATATATTATGCCAGGTCTCCAGAATATAATCTCCTTGGGGATGATAACTCCACCTGCATAGTCAATCCTCAAAAAATGTACATGGCTGCCATGCAGTTTATGATGACGATAGAGGAGGAAGTTGTTCAGCCATTTTTTAACCAGTCCAGCCACTTATAGAAGACCATTTCAACCTTCATCTTCTCATGGATTTCAAAGGGATGAAGCTGGGGATTTCTCTCCATCCCTCCATACTACTACTCAAGTTTGAGCTGGAGTTGGAGGTCAGAAGTCAAAGTTCACCTTTGTTTGGCATCATCCCCCTAATCTCAGGTCACTGCTGCTGGCAACAGGCAGATCATTAGAAAGAACAACACACATATCTGCTTCCTCAAAATATCAGGAATAATTGGCTTATTATTTCACTTTTTTTTTTCAAATGGCTGAGAATGCTGCACAGCATATAGTGTCTCTTTCTGGTCTTCCTGCAAGATAGGGCGCCAAAATTGGGAAGCCTTGCTCATCTGA